GCATATGCTTGCAGATCGCATAGTGGCATATGCTTGCAGATCGCATATGCTTGCAGATTCGCATATGCTTGCAGATTGCATATGCTTGCAGATTGTATATCCTTGCAGATCGCATATGGCATATGCTTGCAGATCGCATATGGCATATGCTTGCAGACTGCATATGGCATATGCTTGCATGCATATGGCATATGCTTGCAGACTGCATATGCTTGCAGACTGCATATGCTTGCATATTGCTATGCTTGCAGACTGCATATGTTTGCAGACTGCATATGCTTACAGACTGCATATGCTTGCAGACTGCGTATGCTTGCAGACTGCATATGCTTGCAGATCGCATATGGCATATCGCATATGGCATATGCTTGCAGATCGCATATGGCATATGCTTGCAGATCGCATATGGCATATTCTTGCAGATGGCATATGCTTGCAAATCGCATTTGTCATATGCTTGCAGATCGCATATGCTTGCAGATCGCATATTGCACATGCTTGCAGGTCGCATATGGCATATGCTTGCAGATCGCATATGCTTGCAGATCGCATATGCTTGCAGATTGCATATGCTTGCAGATTGTAATCCTTGCAGATCGCATATGGCATATGCTTGCAGATCGCATATGGCATATGCTTGCAGATCGCATATGGCATATGCTTGCAGATCGCATATGGCATATGCTTGCAGACTGCATATGCTTGCAGACTGCATATGCTTGCATATTGCTATGCTTGCAGACTGCATATGTTTGCAGACTGCAAATGCTTACAGACTGCATATGCTTGCAGACTGCGTATGCTTGCAGACTGCGTATGCTTGCAGACTGCATATGCTTGCAGATCGCATATGGCATATGCTTGCAGATCGCATATGGCATATGCTTGCAGATCGCATATGGCATATTCTTGCAGATCGCATATGCTTGCAAATCGCATTTGTCATATGCTTGCAGATCGCATATGCTTGCAGATCGCATATTGCACATGCTTGCAGGTCGCATATGGCATATGCTTGCAGATCGCATATGCTTGCAGATCGCATATTGCATATGGTTGCAGAGCGCATATTGCATATGCTTGCAGATCGCATATGGCATATGCTTGGAGATCACGTATGCTTGCAGATCGCATATGCTTGCAGATTGCAATGCTTGCAGATCGCATATGCTTGCAGATCGCATATGCTTGCAGATCGCATATGGCATACGCTTGCAGATCGCATATACTTGCAGATCGCATATGCTTGCATATGAGATCGCATATGCTTGCAGGTCTCATAAGCTTGCATATGAGATCGCATATATATAAAATTAAAACATATTGCACCTTGCATATTGCATATGGCATATGGCATATTGCAGATTGCATATTGCAGATTGCATATTGCATATCGCATATCGCATATTGCATATCGCATATCACAGCATATCGCAGCATATCACATATCGCTGCATATCGCATATCGCTGCATATCGCATATCGCTGCATACATATCGCTTATCGCTGCATACATATCGCATATCGCTGCATACATCTCGCATATCGCTGCATACATATGGCATATCGCTGCATATCGTTGCATATATAAAACATAAAACATTGCATATGCATATATGCATATATGCAAAATATGCACATATATATGCATTGCATTGCATATGCATATGCATATGTGCATAATTGAAACATAAATACTTAATCGCGCTGGGGATCGAACCGGTGACCTTCCGTTCTTTTCGGTGCTGTCTTAAGCGCGTACGGCACGCTCCCGACCCGGAATTTCCAAAACGCTCCGGACAACCGGACAGCAGACGGACAACCGGACAACCGGACGGACAGCGAACTCGGGACTAGACGCGGGCTGCTTCGCCCGCGAGGGGGCCGTAGTCCCCCGGCTGGGCGGCACGAGTACGACGGTCCGTGCGTATAGTACTATACCCGTGCGGGAGTCGAACCCACAAGTGCAAGGGATGCACCCAGCCGTGCGGGCGTGTCGTCGGACGGCTAGAGAGCCGTGCAACGCTGGCATTTAACGCCATCCAGTGGCGAGGCAGACGAAATTCCTGTTGGACGTGTCAGGTGGTGTTGGCTGCGGAGGTCCAACGCTCTTCTAGGTTTCGGGCGTGTTTGTACTCGGTCGTATAGCGTTCACGGGTTTCGGTTGCACGGCGATCCAGGAGGCGGAGTTCGGCCGCCAGGTCGGGGTCCAGCTTGGTTGCTGCCATGAACTGTTTGACGACTCGTGTTCGTTCGTCGGGTGTGGTAGAGAGCGGGCGCAGGAGGCGGATGTGGTCGAGTGTCTTGTAGCGGGTGAGCAACACGTACATGGTTGCACGCTTGAGGCCACCGGGCGGGACGGAAAGGTCCGCGACCCAGCATTCTTCCTTGAAGCTACGGCCCTGTACGAAGTAGTCGGTGACGGCGTAGTAGTCACCAAGCGGTACATTGACTCGACGTACATTTTTGGTGGTGGTGCCGGTGTTGACGGCTGGCACGGTGATGTTTGCTGCCGGCGAGGGCCGTGGTACGATGGCGAAGGCAGCACCTTTGGTTGCGAAGTCCGCTAAGTCTGCTAGCACCACTTTGGGCGTGTGCCCTTTAATGGGACGGACCAAGACAGCTGCAGGTAGGTAGTGGAGGCGCCAGTACGGGCCGCGGCCGTCGTCGGGCGGTTCACGGCTGTCGGTAAGCAGGCCACATGCCTCGACTTCATTGTTGTGGCACGCGCCGGCGTCGGCAGCAGTGGTGTCGAGTAGGGTGTAACGTGCACCCTCGTAGTACCAAGTGTCGGCGGTGGTGTGGTCGAAGGTGGCGTCTTTTACTCGCATTGCGACAGCCTTTTCGACATGGGAGAGTGGCTGTTGTTGGGTTGTGCCATGTTGCCTAACCGGGACATGGTCCGCGTTCCAGCTGACCAAACGCGCTCCTTTGCGGCGCGCCTGGAGCATCAGGAGGCGTGTGTTGAGCGCGTGCCTGGGTTCGTTCCGTTGCAGCACGACACGGGGTTCGAGGTCTGTGAGATCGGACAAATCCGTGATGACGCGTTGGTTGAGTGCGTCTACTAGATCTGCAACACGTGCTTCAGTGGGTTGAATGCCGCCGAACATGGTTGTGAAGCGGGTAAGCTGCTGGCCAGATGGGCTGTTGTCTTGCCGCTGCTGTTTCTGCAGCATGAATACGGTGCCGCCGAGCTGACGGTACAGGTTGAAGCCGTCGTGTAGGTGGGTGTGCGTTTGTGGCACGGGGCGACGAGTGCGACGTGTGGAGGTGGTGGCGCGACGGTTGTCGGTGTCGTCATCTGCATCACTGCTGTCATTGTTGCTGCCGTCAGCATGGTCACCTCCACGTTCGTCAGCCGAGGCCGGCCGGCACTGTGCTGACGGTGCCGAGGGACTGAACTGGGGGTTTCGTTCAACGTTGGTGGCGTAGCGGTATGGCGGCGACCCGCCTGGCTGAGGATGCTGCAGCAGGTCGCCGATTCCGCCAGCAACACGACCGGACAAGACACGGCTGCTGGGATGGGCGGGTCCAAGGTGTGGTGGAGGCGGCACGTTGGCTGTACAGGAGTGGCTGATGGCGCCGAGGTGCTCGTGGCTTTGCATGCCAATTTCGTCGATGAGGACAGCCCCATCACCGACATTGCGCTTGACCTGAAGGCCGGCGTGGGCGCCGCGCTTGGGAAGGTTGGCGCCACGGGAGCCGCTTTGACTGGCTGAGATGCCGAACATCGAGTGGGTCGATAGGCTGCGGTGTACTGGGGTGTTGAAGGCGATTGCGGCAGCCCAGGAGTATGCACATGTGGCGGCCCAGTCGGGACTGTCATGCTGATACGTGTACCACAGTAGAGCGTGTACGAACTGAGTCTTGCCCGTGCCCGGAGGACCCATGATGAGCATCTGTGGCGGGACGCCTGGATCAGGTTCGTTGCGGCGGTCGAAATAACGTGCCATGAGCATGAATGGTACGGCCTGATCCGGCGCCAGGGTAAAGAGCTCGATGGTGTCGTCGATGCTCGGCGGCTGTGGTAGACGTAGGTAAGTTGGCATTCCCGCTGTGATATGGTTGGTTT